TTTGCCACCAAACCTCCTGGCTTAGGTGAAGCAGCCTATTCATCAAAGGACAGAAGAAGTTAATAACTAGCTAAGGAATACCTATTACGCAAACCATATGTCAGAAAGAAAATGGCTAAGGGCTCTAAGTCCCAATAGATTCTTGCAGAAAAGGGAAGAAATTGTTGGCTGAGCCAGTGCAGGGTACCCGAAAGCCTGAGACATACCTGGGTCCAAACCTGCATGTAGAAGTTTAAGTACACTGTGATTCAGGGCCTGAGGGACTGACCCTTCAGAAGAAGGTTTTAAGAAGGAGTGGTGTCTCTTGGAATTGGCCTCAACCAGCATCTGCCTCAGAATAGGCATTGAAAAATGGTTTAGCACCCATTCCCATTAGGGTTGAGACTGATGTGGAATGGCTTCATAAACTGAACCTCCAAGCTAATCTTCAATTAGCTTTTAAAATTAGAGTCATAAATGTTCATTTAATTTTGTTAAATGTGCTAACTTTTTGGTTTTATGTGTTTTTTCACTTTGTTTACTAAAGATTGCTTTGGAAAAATACTAATTTATTTGCTGCTAAAAAGGACACTCCTTGAGGAAACCTGAGCCAGATTGCCCTTAGTTGGCTTCTTGATTAGGCCCCAACCTTTGGCTCTGTCCTTGGCCCCCTGGGTCCAGTTGTAGCAGCAATTCTGCTGGGTCAGTTTAGGGAAAATCCCTATCTTGTTATCTGGTCAACTCATTCCTCACCCTAGATATTCCAGCACTCTGGCCTGCCTTCAGCAGGAATCTGTCGAGCTGGATTTAGCCAGAATCCTCCCTTATCCCAATGTTTTGTGTTAGTAATTTTCCATCTACTGATCCCCACACTATTTGTTGGCTGTAAAACCCCACTTGTCTTTGTATTCTAAGTACCTCTCTCTCCTACCTATTGCAAAACCCTCATTGAATAAAGGATTCATTACCATCTTTAACAAGTGTCATCATTAATTTTTTCTTTAACACTGCACAAAGGAGAAATGGGCTAGAGGAGATACAGACCATTTCTGTTTTTCTGATGATCAGCAATGGTGGGTGACCATAGACTGATGTCCTATAAAGGATTATTTTAGGCAGAAAAACCTCTCCTCTCTTCACTGGATTTCCTTTTCAGTCTCCCCACATCTTTATCTAATTTCCTTTCCATATGTGAAAAGAAACTAATTGGTGATTTCTTCTGATCTAGGCCATTCCACTGAACCCCGATAGTGTATTTATGGTATTAGATGATGTTTGTATGTTAGTAGCCCTTTTAAAGGCTACCAGTTGTGACTTTGTCCTCCCATCCATCTCTATTGACATGCTGTTGCCCAAATATCTTTGTAGTTTTCTTCATTGTGACTTTCTCCTGCTGTTTCAAATGCCTGAAATTCTCTCTCTGCTATCTCTTGGTTTATCCAAGTTCCCATTCATTTTTCAAAGTTTATCTTAATGTTGGGACGGCACATTCCTGGGGGCCAGCTTGGTAGAAATCACTGAGAACATACCAAGAAGAAGCTGAAACTTAGCAAAAATAATGTAGGGGTCTATTGGTAGGTAACTGCCCCTCCCTCACCCCCAATTTTTCTCCTTATAGAGCTAAAAGGTAAAGGATATGTATTTTAAACAAGGGAAGTGTTTTTCTTGCCTATAACTAACAGTCTTACTTCACATCTTGTTGTCCCCCTTGTTGTCTTATATTTTATAGAAGGATTTACCAACAGCAGCACTTGAATTTTGGGGGTCAGATAACTCTTTCTTGTGGGAGGCTATCCTCTGTATTGTTTGGGTGTTTGGCAGCATTCATGACCTCAACCCTAGATGCCAGTAGTACCTCCCTTCATTTTGGTGACAACCAAACACGTATACAGACATTGCTAAATATTGGGGGTGAGGAAGGAACATTGAGGGAGAGGTGCTGCAAAATTTGTCTCCATTGAGATCCACCGTTCTGCAGATACCATGAAGCTCTTCCAGTTTTCTAGATACAGTAAGTACCTCCAGACATCTGTATGTAGAACACCCTTTTTCTTCTTCAGCCTTAGGCCTAAGCTCTTTCCTCAAGACCCACCTCTTCTGTGAAGCTTTTCCCATAAACCTGCCAAAACTGTAGTGCCCCTCCTTCGTGCTCCCATGCACATAATTATTTACAGAATGAATAAATAAGTTTGGCCTATGCTATATGGCAACTATTATGGTAGGTTCTACTGTGTGCCAACCATTGTGTTAGGTTCTGGTGATAGAGCAATGAAGAAGATAAACATAATTTCTTGCCTCATGTTGCTTATAGTCTAGCTTATTATTTTACAAATTATATTTGTAGTTCCCATGTAGACTGTAAATTCCTGGAGGTCAGGGACCAAGTACTGAGACTTACTCATTTCCGTATCCCCTAACTCCTTACATAGTATTTGGCAAATAAAGGAAATATGAAGGTACTTTTTTCTTTTTTTTTTTTTTTTTTTTAAAAGATGACCGGTAAGGGGATGTCAACCCTTGGCTTGGTGTTGTCAGCACCACGCTCAGCCAGTGAGCAAACCGGCCATCCCTATATAGGATCCGAACCCGTGGCCTTGGTGTTATCAGCACCGCACTCTCCCGAGTGAGCCACGGGCTGGCCTTGAAGGTACTTTTAAAAGTTTATGGTAAAATAGAATTAAAAGATAATATGAATCTTTCCATGTACTTTTTGAAGTATTTTTGTAAATAATTTATTCACCTCTCTGCATCTCCACTTCCATTACCCTAATTCAGGGTTTTTTCATTGCAAATATGAGCTATTGCCAGATTCCAAATGAGACATCCTAATTCCAGTTGTCCCCTTCAAATCCCACCTTCCACAAAGGTGTCAGAATGAGATGTCCAGAGAGTAAATTTTACTCCTCTGCTTAAAAGCCGTCAGTGCTTCCTGTTGCATCTAATATTTTAAAGACAAGTGGCTGTACAATGGAATACTATTTAGCCATTAAAAAAAGAATGAAATCCTGTCATTGGCAGCAACATGGATGAGCCTGGAGGACACTGTTAAGTGAAATAAATCAGGCACAAAAAGGTAAATACCACATGATCTCACTCATATGTGGAAGCTAAAAAAGTTGATCTCATAGAAGTAGAGAGTAGAATGGTGCTTACCAGAGGCTGGGAAGGCCGGGGAGAGGGAGAATAGGGTGACGTTGGTTAATATAGTGTACCATAACACTGGAGGGTAACCATAGTAAGTGATAATTTATTGTGCTTTTTCAAATAGCTAGAAGATTTCGAATGTTACCAACACAAAGAAATGATAAAGTTTTAAGGTGATGAATATGTTAATTACCCTGATTTAATCATTACATATTGTTTACATGTATCAAAATATTACACGGTACCCAAAAATGTGTACAATTATGTGTCAAATATATATATATATTTAAAAACATATTTTTAAAAAATATATATATTTTTAAAAACCATGAAAAAAATTTGACTTCCAAGATCAGTCTTCATGTCCATTCCATCCTTTGTTATGAGGAAGCACCCAATGAGAGGCTTTCTGAGTCATATCTGGAAGTAGCACATATCACTTCCATTCTTGAGGGCCCATTGGCTAGAACCCTGTCACATGTATACATCTAACTGCATGGAAGGCTAGGAATTGTAGTCTAGTTGTTTGCTAAAAGAGGTTTCCACCACACTATTTTAATTTAGGATTTGGAGTATGTGTTCTCTTTTCCCTAGATGGTTTTGTATTTATTTTCTATTTTAATTCTCTTAAGAGTTTGTGTATTTCATTATAAGAGGCCTCAAATTCATTTTAAAAGAAAGTAGGGTACAAATTGTGAATAAAGCAACAATCATGAATTTGGTTAATGTCAAAGTGTACAGCGTTTTACAGTTCACAAAGGGCTTCCACACTCTTTAATATGTTTTTTTAAAGCAACCTTTTGATGTAAGCAAGAAACTTGTTACCACCATTTTTTAAATATAGGTGTGATTTACAGGTAAATGACTTACCTGAGGTTGCCCAGTTATACTCATTCTAACAGTTATTTAAATGTGGGAATATTTAATTGTTCTTGAAATCCTTCTAAAAATGTAAAAGCATTTTCTCAAATCTTTTTTTTTTTTTTTTAAAAAGATGACCGGTAAGGGGATCTTAACCCTTGACTTGGTGTTGTCAGCACCACGCTCAGCCAGTGAGCGAACCGGCCATCCCTATGTGGGATCCGAACCCGGGGCCTTGGTGTTATCAGCACCGCACTCTCCCGAGTGAGCCACGGGCCGGCCCTCAAATCTTTTTAAGAACAATTTTTCCTGATTCAAAAATAAAGGGCGGCTGGCCCGTGGCTCACTCGGGAGAGTGTGGTGCTGACAACACCAAGTCAAGGGTTAAGATCCCCTTACTGGTTATCTTTTTTTTTTAAAGATATATTCATCCAGGAAAAAAAAAAAGGAAAGAAAAAACAAGTGTCTGTAACATAGCTGGGTCTGGCTTCTTCTGGCTCTCCCTTGTCTTATACTGTACTTCTCTCCAGCAGCTGGAACAGCCTGTAGCTCTCCACAAGCACTGTGCTATTTCACACCCAAGGCTTTGCTCCTACTGCCTCCTCTGTCTCCAGTCTTCTCTCTTCCACTGGGTAACTCTAACTCATCCTTTAAGATTCAGTTCAGGAATTACTTCTTTCTGGAAGCCTCTTCTGAGCAAGCCACTACACTAAGTTGGGTGTTCCTCTTCTGTGTTCTGTAGTACCAGTGTTTACTTTCAGTATTTCATAACTGTCTGTTAATGAGTCTGCCTTACCAATTCTGCAGTGAGTTTCTTCAGAGCAAGGAATTATATCTTACTTATCTTTATATCCCGCGTGTCTAGCACAGTAGCTGACAAGTGGTAGGTACTTGGATATTGTTTCAGTGAATGAGTGTTTAGTGAATGAAAAGTTTAGTAACAAACTTTTATTTAAAGTACAAGTTTCAAATTGAGACTCAATGATTAATCAGTTATTTTATTTTTGCTTTCACAGATATTGGTATCAACTTGACAGATCCTATGTTCAGAGGAATTTACAGGGGGGTTCAAAAGCATCAAGGTAAATATTTCTCTTATTAAACCGTTTCTCTATGAAGACAAATTTTCTGCCTCAATGAGATCTTGAAAAGCATAATCCACTCTTATAAATGAAATATTAAAGAACTCATTATGCATCTTTGATAAAATTATAATCAGCAAAATTCATGTAAGCTGTATTGGTAAACCATGATCCTGAACATTAATAAAGCACCTTTGTTATAATAACAAAGACTTAATAAAGCCTTCTTCTTATTTGTAGAATTTTGTAATTTTGAATATAGGACTTTAAATAACCAAATGCACAAAAGCCAAACAGTAGTTGGTGTTTAATAGTCTTTTAAGCAATTGAACAGTAGGGTACATAATCCAAAAATCACTTACTATAGAACATCATAATGTCTAGTTTCTCAAAAACATTTTCAGCTGGGTGACAAGACAGTCGTATGATTAAGGAGGTACACTGCTGCCTACCTTCCCTGTCTTGTCTTTACTCCTTTCCATCCAAGTCTCTCCCTACTTCATAAGTGGGAATGAACAGTAGTACCTCAGAGATTGATGGAAAGCTTAGACAAAAGCAAACTGGCTTGTATTTATCATGTAAGATCATTTAAAAGGCCTACTTTGTCAGCTGAGAAATGACTAAACAGGAAATGATGGTGACAAGTTTTTAAAGCAGAATTTGTACAGTTAGTCTGAATATTGCCTCAAAAATTTGACTGTACTTGTTACTGTGTAAATGTAAAAAGGAAAATTTGGTTTTGTGGTTATGAATGAAGTAGAATTGCACTTTTCGATAAGCTAAATCAGAAGCTAATCTTATTGTACTTTTAGATGGTAGTAGGTAAAAGCTTTTCTAAATATAGGGGATGTTAGATACCACTTGAAAGAAGAAAGGTAGATGTTAGCTTTCTCAAGCCTTACCTCAAAACTTAACTTTTCTACTTCATTTAGAATTTCAAATGATATTTTAACATGGCTCTTACATATTACAGATAGAATACTGAATAAATTACACTCTGCTTTTCTTGTCTTTGTAGCACTTAATAGATTTCATGCTCTGTGACTCGTGTGTGTATGAATGTTTGTATGTGTGTTTATAAAATAAGTTTTATTGTGGTCAATATTAGTATTACTAGTTTATAAAATCTAGCAAAACTGGTGACCATATTTAGTATAGTTAATTAAAATTGATATTTTTGTCTAAAAGAAATTTTGTATCTACTTTAGAAGCAATAGCAATTGAATTCCAGTCACATTTACTGTTAAACTTAAATATGAAGTTAATAAATGGATTTATATTACATGATTGTTTTATTTTGATGTCCACTTATTTCTGACCTCTCAGCTTAGAAGTTAATATTGATCTCCCTTTAAAAAAGTGATACTGAAAACAGTGTGGCGCCGAACACTAAGGTTTTGGTGATGGGCCATAATAATCAACTACATTGTATATTGACAAAATTAATTAAATTAAATTAAATTTTAGGGCCGGCCTTTAGATTTCTCTTTAGATTTGTACCTATAATGAATTCTTCATTTTAGCTTAGTGAGACTCTTGAAGTATGCTTTAAAAAATATGATACATCAGTGTACTTAAATCTCTTCTTTGAAAGAAGAATGTGCACCATCAACACATTGCTCTTTAGTGACATCTTCATTTTAACAGATTAGCAAAGATGGCATTCTAACCATAAGGTGGACTTTAATGGCTGTCGCTGTAGATGTACACTTATTTGCCAACCACCATAAATTTCTCTACAGAGAATTCATCCATATACATTAACTCAGTGATTCTCATACTTTTTGGTCTCAGAACCCCTTCACATTCTTTAATATTATTGATGACCCCCAAAGAGCAAGAACTTTTGCTTATGTGGGTTTTATCTATTGATATATACTATATTAGAAATCAAAATGAAGAAAATTTTTAAATATTAATGCATTTAAAAATAACACTAGACTACTATATAACATAAATAGCATATTTTTATGAAAAATGATTATTTTCCAAAGCAAAAAAATTTAGCAACATGAGTGGAATTGTTTTATATTTTTCAAATCTCTGTAATGACTGCAATAGTAGAAGACTGCTGAGTTTTCATATCTGTTTCTGTGTCTGTTGTTATATCACATATCATGTAGCCTCTGCAGTTCCTCACTGTTTTTTTTTTTTTTTCTGACCGGTAAGGGGACTGCAACCCTTGGCGCCGTGTGGTCCGCACCATGCTCAGCCAGTGAACATACCGGCCATCCCTATGTAGGATCCGAACCCGCGGCCTCGTCACTCCCAGTGCCACACTCTCCTGAGTGAGCCACGGGGCCGGCCCCAGATTAGTGGGTTTTTTATTTGCCCGTTTTTTTTTAATGTGGGGTTTGTCTTTTACAGATGACTTACAGGATGTAATAGAGAGAGCTGTTCAGATTGGCGTTAAAAAGGTAACATCTGTTTTTTGTTATTATTGAGGTTTTTTGTTTTTTAACTAAATTTAAATAAAAATTCTGCAGAGTAGAAGGAAAAGAGCTAATGCCACACTTGGGGTACATATTGTCTACATTTAATAGAAAAAAAATATTCTGTTCACAGCAATTTAAGTTATACAACCTCATGCATAGTTCTTCCCTGTGATAATAAATGTGATAAATGGCAAGGTCTCTTTGAAAAAATAATTTTTTTAAGCCTATATGAATCCAGGCTTCTTAAGAGGCACGAAAAAATTCAATAGTATGGGGTCAGGACACTTGGTAGCTATTGCTTCTAAATTGAATAATCTCAGTTTGAAAAAGTGATACTGCTGACTAAATGAATTCTATAGGCTCCAACTCTAAATTGTATTAGTTATTATTCACAAATAATAAGAAAGGATAAAGTTAGATTAATTTCTCATTATGTGGTTACTTCCTGCCTGCTAAATCACTTTATACAGTGCTTTTCTGAAAACTCTGAAATACCAACTTCCTAAATTTTTATGTGTCATCCATGAACAATTTAATCTTAAGGTTTCTAATTGTACACACACACACACACACACACACACACTGACTTAGAAATAATAGAACACGGCTGAGTTTTACTTGGGTATGGTTCCAAATTGCAATTTAATTCAGTACCTTGCAGTTATATTGTAATGTTATATTGTAGTGGTCAAAAACACACAGCTGAAGTTTTATTCTTCATAGCTTTGTAATCTGGGGTATTTTATCTCTCTAGACTTCAGTTTTCTCATTTAGAAACCAGGAATGATGATAGTACTTAATTAATAGAGTTTTTGTGAGGGTCAATTAAAATATTGAATGCAGAGTATTTGATATTATACCTGGCATAAAGTAAACAGTCTTCATCATGTATATGGTGGAAGCCACCGTCATCATAATCATTATTGTTATTGTTGTTGTTATACATTGGGAGAAGACATTATGCCCTCTAGTCTTGTCCTTACTTTTTTCAACTATTTGGAAAAGTTATAGGTAAAGTAATAAGCAGACTTGATTAGAAACTATTTTATGTAATTGAAATACTGGATGTGGGCAGTTGGTCTGATATTAAAGAATTAGGGGACTGGCCAGTTAGCTCAGTTGGTTAGAATACAGCCTTGTAATATCAAGGTCAAGGGTTTGGTTCCCTATACCTGCCAGCTGCCAAAAATAAAAATAAAAAAGAATTAAGTAATATTGGCAAACAAGAAAGTTTTCTCAGTATTTTTGTTATATCTTATATATTATGTTTTACAGGTAGTCAAGGACTTAATTATGGCTCTGTGTTCTCTGAATAGATACTCAATGTTTAATCAAAACTTAAATATGAAGTTAATAAATGGATTTATATTACATGATTGTTTTATTTTGATGTCCACTTATTTCTGACCTCTCAGCTTAGAAGTTAATATTGATCTCCCTTTAAAAAAGTGATACTGAAAACAGTGTGGCGCCGAACACTAAGGTTTTGGTGATGGGCCATAATAATCAACTACATTGTATATTGACAAAATTAATTAAATTAAATTAAATTTTAGGGCCGGCCTTTAGAATATTAGAGGTTTAAGTTGCTATATGAAAATATCTGTTCATCATTTGCAGTTCTACCTTCATTTTGTATGTTTTCTCTTTAGATTTGTACCTATAATGAATTCTTCATTTTAGCTTAGTGAGACTCTTGAAGTATGCTTTAAAAAATATGATACATCAGTGTACTTAAATCTCTTCTTTGAAAGAAGAATGTGCACCATCAACACATTGCTCTTTAGTGACATCTTCATTTTAACAGATTAGCAAAGATGGCATTCTAACCATAAGGTGGACTTTAATGGCTGTCGCTGTAGATGTACACTTATTTGCCAACCACCATAAATTTCTCTACAGAGAATTCATCCATATACATTAACTCAGTGATTCTCATACTTTTTGGTCTCAGAACCCCTTCACATTCTTTAATATTATTGATGACCCCCAAAGAGCAAGAACTTTTGCTTATGTGGGTTTTATCTATTGATATATACTATATTAGAAATCAAAATGAAGAAAATTTTTAAATATTAATGCATTTAAAAATAACACTAGACTACTATATAACATAAATAGCATATTTTTATGAAAAATGATTATTTTCCAAAGCAAAAAAATTTAGCAACATGAGTGGAATTGTTTTATATTTTTCAAATCTCTGTAATGACTGCAATAGTAGAAGACTGCTGAGTTTTCATATCTGTTTCTGTGTCTGTTGTTATATCACATATCATGTAGCCTCTGCAGTTCCTCACTGTACATTTGTGATAGAATGAGAGTGAAAAAGACAAATAGCATCTTAGTATTATTATGAAAATAGGTTTTTTTGGGGTTTTTTGATTATAGTTTTTGAAAATAGTTTTGACCCCACATACCTCCTGGAAGTTCCCCAACCATACTTGGAGAACTGTTGAATTAATCAATATTATAGAATCACTGATTTAGATTAATAGAATTCTAAACTTGCAGGTTTCAGTTATTCAGTCATTCATAACACTTAATCTCTGTCCTCAAAGAACTCATGGTCTATTGGAAAGACATTTTAACAAGGAAGAGTGATGAATTCTATTGTGTGTGTGTAGAGGGGTGGACAAGTACCACTCTGCATGGAATGATCTTCTGACTGAATTTTATTTATTTATTTTTTTATAATAAGTACATTCTAAAATGTTTTGGGGAGAAGAGGGGTGGGGCCGGCCCACAGCAGCTGTGTCACTGGCCTGGGGGGAGGGTCAGGGGGGCCGAAGCCCTTGGCCACTGCTTCAGGACCCCCAGGGGCTTCTGGCTCCTGCTCCGGCCTGGTCATGGTAGGTGGTGGGCAGGCCAAGGACCACAGCCTGCAGCCTCAGGACCCTTGGGGCTTCTTCTGACTGAATTTTAAAGGAAAGGTAGATGTGTGACAGTCACAGAGGAAAAATCATTTTGCCATAAAGAAGTGGTAGGAAGGCATGTTTGGGAAACTGTTGTTGAGGCCCTGTTAAAGTCAGCTTATTTTCTTTCTTTCTATTTTAGTTTATGATTACAGGTGGAAATCTACAAGACAGTAAAGATGCACTGGATTTGGCACAAACAAATGGTATCCTCATATTACTTTTACCAAACAAAGTATGAATTAAGTAATTTTGAAGAAGTCTTTCTGAGAACTGCTTCAGGTACAATACAATGGATCATGACTGTAGAAGCAACAGGAAAATGGACTAAATTCAATGGGACATGATTAAGATGACAAAATTCAAAGTACCTATTGGTATTTCAGATGTTTGATGAAAAAACCTATCATAGTACTTAACAAAGATTACTTTAAGATTTAAGTTAATAAGAATAAAGTTCTCCAGGTACATAAATTAACCTCAGGTATTCCTCATGTGGAAAATGTGTGTTGTAGTGTATTTAAGGTATGAGTTGCTTTTTATTTGCTTTTCTTAACTTAAGCTATGAAGGATCATTTTATTAAATATTTATTATGTGGACTAGACACTATGCAAGGCCCCAGGAATGAATATAATATAATATATAATCACTCGCATGCTTACTTTATGTTCATACATTTTGCATTTATTTAAAATCTCAAACATTTTGGAATTGATAGTTAAAGGAATCCTACTTAAATAAAACACCTCATTTACTTCACATTCATTCATTCAACTTTTTTCATGCCTAATGTGCTAGACACTGGAGGAATTAGTCATTCTACATAATTTTTCAAAATACCGATGTTTCCTGTATGTATAAAAATATTTTTTAATTTTTTATTAAAAATTTTTATTTTGACATTTATTTGTACATATTTGTGGGGTACAGTATGTTGTTTGTACTAAAACTTATTAAAAGCTATTTTTATGGAAATGTTTCTAAAATGCCACTTCTCTTCAGGATTCACTGACACTTTTTCTTAACTCATAAAAATAATCATCTTCCCAGGAGTTTTTGAAGTATGTAAAGATGTTTTCTTCCATACTTTTTATCCCCAAACAGCTATGCTTTAAAAAGTTCTCTCATCTCCATTATCAGCCCTCCCCTACTCCTCTCCGTGTATCTTGTATCTTCATAGCTTTAACAGCACTGCCTCCTTTGATTTGTAAACATCTCCACGAGAGCCTCAGGAAGGCTCCATACCTCTCCCATGGGTTCCCCTACTAAGCCACTCAAAACAATTTTGGGGTTCTCATTTGTGTTCTGCACAATTAAAGCTGTCAAAGTCTGGCCTCTAAATAAGTGAGCTTTATTTTTTATTAGAAAAACAAATCCCCCTTCCCACCTCTTTAAATCACCCCTGCTATTAACCTTTTTAAGGGGAATATATTTTAACTGTTATATTAAATACATGAATCAAGAGAGTCATATGAACAGTGAATATAAAAGATAAAATGAGAAAATGACATTTCAAGAAATTGTTTCACTTTCCATTCTACAACACTTAATAAAAACCAAGCGTTGGAAAGAACTGGACTAATTATTATATTAATACATTAAGGCAATTTTCATATGCATATCCTACTTTGTTAAGGTATTCCAAAAATTCTTACTTGATTAATATAATGCAATTCTGGTAGTTTGAATAGTTTATGGCTATTGTTAAAAACCTGTTGAAATTATTTATATTCTCACTTTTGCATACTAAATATAAAATGAAAAATATTTTGAAAATAACCCTAAGATATTATTTTGTGTTAGATATGTTCTTCAGTACAGTCGGATGTCATCCTACAAGATGTGGTGAATTTGAAAAGAATAACCCTGATCTTTATTTAATGGACTTGCTAAATCTTGCTGAAAACAATAAAGGGAAAATTGTAGCAATAGGGGAATGTGGACTTGGTAAGTGCCAACCTAACCATTTAGAATGACTTTGTTTGAAAATAACTGATCTGTATAAGTCATGAGTAATTATTCTTTTTTATCTTTTAAAGACTTTGATCGACTACAGTTTTGTCCCAAAGATATTCAGCTCAAGTAAGGAAATTTATTAACTTTAGAAATTATTATAAAATCCTGAGTGGTTTTTAAATAACTTCTTTTAATTGAAACATAATCGATTATACATATTCGTAGGGTGCAGAGTTGACTGTCAATACTTGTGATGCTCGGGCCGGCCCGGTGGCGCACTGGATAGTGCGCCGCTTGGGAAGCGCAGCGGCGCTCCCGCCCGAGGGTTTGGATCCCACATGCAGACCGGTTCCCGCTCACTGGCTGAGCAAGGCGCGGGAGCGACACCGAGGGTTGCGATCCCGTTGCCGGTCCCCGGTCCGGTGTGGGGGCGACACTGAGGGTTGCAATCCGTTGCCGGACACAGAAAAAGACAAAAGACAAAAAAAAAAAAAATACTTGTGATGCTCAAATATGTGATGCAGAAATCAGGATAATTAGCATATTCATCATCACAAAATGTGGTCATTCTTTGTGTCCATTAACTAATTCTTGCTAACCCCTTTCTCCCTCCCCTTTTTCCACCTCTCATAACCACAATTCTGTTCTCTCCTTCTAAAAGTTCAATGTATTATTGTGATTGTTGTCTCTTTCTTTAAATAACTTTTACCAGTTGAGAATATAGTTTGATTAAGCATCGGGATGTTTTTGTTCTTCCCTTTGTATATCAAAAGTTGAGTGAAACAAATATCCACACATACTTGCACATAATTTATAAGGGATGGAAGCATGAGAATATAGTTTGATTAAGCATCGGGATGTTTTTGTTCTTCCCTTTGTATATCAAAAGTTAAGTGAAACAAATATCCACACATACTTGCACATAATTTATAAGGGATGGAAGCGCATAGTTCCCTGATTGATTAACCATCTAATTGGATTTCAATGGTAGAAATAAGGGATGAGTTTTATATGATAGAGATCTTTGTTTGTTTTTTGTTTGTTTAACAAATGCATTCATACATGAAACATTACAGTGGAATGAGTTAAATTCAGTTATGGGGGATATAATATAAGAGCAAGTGATATTAAAAATAGATTACAGGATCAGTCACCAAAGCTAGAAAAACATATTTTACTCCTGTTGGGCGTTGGATATTGTTAGTTTGGATCTGTGAGAATCATTTAATAGGAACTATTTTAAGAGTGATAGGTTCTGAGAAAACTCCAAAGCTCACAAGCCTTGGGGACTTCCTATAACACATTGCCTATAGCTTTTAGTTGGAGCTCTTGTCATCATACTGGCAGGTCATTGTTATAAGTTGAAAAGAAAAATTAGGTCAAAGTCTTAATTTAAAACATGAGGGCTAGCTGGTTAGCTCAGTTGGTTAGAACGCTGTGTTCTAACCAACGACACCACAGTCAAGGGTTCAGATCCCCATGCTGGCCAGCTGCACCGCCCCCCAAAAAAAAGCGTTTTGTCGAACTTTAAAAATATCTTAATTATCAAGATGATAAAACATTAGAATGAGCTTCTAAAGGAGTTTAATTTAGTTATTCATCCTTCTTATAAATATTTATGGAGTACTATGTGCCAGCAATTGCTGGGAACTCATGGTATACAAAAATATAAATATGGTATAATATACATCTCAAGAGACCTTTAAGAATAAACAACCCTCTGTCCATCTTAGTTTCTTATACACAAATGAGGTCTGAGTTAGGTTATCTCTTAAGATACTGTCCAGTTCTATTATAATATTTAATAATAATTTTTGTCATATGATCTTGATTAAGCCAGTGATTTGATAGCCTGAAGGGATTTTTCAAATTATACATGCCAAGAGTGTACTTCCTCTCTGGTCCCTCCCCTGCTCTGCCACAAATGGGATCCTGATATGTTCACCCTAGTTGAAAATCACTAAAGTGAGGAACAGATTTACTAGTGGAGTCTGTCGTAACCTAGACTTCAAGCTTCAGAATTCCTGGAATGTGAAGGTCATAACCAAGTGGAACAAGATGGGTTAGAGTAATGTTCTGCGGACACATACTCTTTCTTTCAGCCTTCTCATTTATATAACCCTTTCAGAGCTGTTTAGTTTGTGGTATATCATTTGCTATGTTTCTCAGGGACATTCACATGGTTACCAACAGGGTTACTAATGCCCTGTATCTTAAATATCATGTAGATCAGCTCACTTAAGCTTAAAAATTCATATATTCTCTTTGAAATAGAAAAAGTTGTCTTTAATAGTTTTTTAGGTTAAGCCCACAGATCATTATTCCTCAACTTGAGATTCTGCTATAAGCCAGTATGAGTCTTGTGAGTCCCACAGACTGTGTATTCTGACAATCAAGGGCCATTGCAGAGTCCCTCAAGATTTCTTGTGCCATATGACATCTCATCCAGAATGAGTTAAAACTGATTCTAAAATGCAACCTAAATACTTTAAATTCAGTTTGGGGGTTAAATGAAAACATCAATAGTATCAGTTCTGTTTTACTGTTCTAGTAATACTTCACCAGCATCAGAGCAAGATCAGAACTTAAAACAATATATGTAGCAGGATATGGTTTATGTTTTAACATACATGCCAATTGTCCAAGTGTTAATCTGTGATAGAGAGTTTGAACTCAGTTCACTTAGTAAATGATTATTGAGTGCCTCCTCAGTATGATACAAAGAAGAATAAGACTTGGTTCTTATGCCTTTATAGACAAGAAAGGATGTAAGTAATTAAAATAGATTGGAAAGTGCTATCAAAAAGGTGTGTAGGGCGGGGCCGGCCCAGTGGCGCACTGCTACAGTGCACCGCTTGGGAAGCGCGGCAGCGCTCCCGCCGAGGGTTTGGATCCCACATACAGACCGGTTCCCGCTCACTGGCTGAGCGAGGTGCGGGGGCAACACGGGGGCAACACCGAGGGTTGCGATCCCGTTGCCGGTCCCAGTCCGGTACGGGCGCGACACTGAGGGTTGCAATCCGTTGCCGGTCATGAAAAAAAAAAAAGGTGTGTAGGGCTGGCCAGTTAGCTCATTTGGTAGAGTGAGGTGCTGATAACACCAAGGTCAAGGGTTTGCATCCCCATATCAGCCAGATGCTGGATAAAAAATATACATGTATGTGTGGACAGCAGAAGGAAGGACTAACTTTGTGGGGAGTCAGGGAAGGCTAAGGTGACAGCATGTGACTTAGGCCTCTTATGGAGAGGACAAATTAAGGACAACCTGAAGTAGGTGGAAATTTTGATAAGACAGACAGTTCAACTTGCGTTTTTCTATTTTTAATAATAAAACATCGAATGACTTAGAGGGTAAAAAACAGACACAGCAATAATGGTCACATGTGGATTGTTGTTAAGGAAACAAACACCCACATCCTCCCACCCTTTCCCTTAGCATGTACTAACCCCTGTTCTTTGTACATACAGCACTCCATTCCTGTTTTAGCACTTACCACATCATACTGAAAATATGTTGTTATCCCTTCTTCTCTCACAACAGACTAGTATCTTTGAATTCTTTAAAGGCACACAGCAAGTCTTACCATGTTGTAGCACTTAGCACAGTACTCTCAGCACATGTTTTTTGAATGTTTAATAAGAAAATCAGTTTTGAATGTTTAGTAAGGAGGGAGGGCTCTTTCTGATCCCTACAGAGCAGTATGGATAAAAAGCCTATAATTCAACTTTTGCTATTGGGTTTATTCTTGGAAGAATTCAGTTTTTCCGAAACAATTATGGTATATGATTTGTTGTTATTGTTTTCTTTTTAAGTAAAAATGTAGTTGGGAAAAAAGGAGATGTATGAGAAAAGGAAAATAGAAAATAGTGTAATGGATTAGGAGGGAAAACAAAAAATGTGCAATAGATGTAGTTTCTGGAAAACCATGGTAAGAAAAGCAGTATATAACATAGTGTTAAAAGTATGATCTTTGAAATCAGCAGGGCTTTGGGTCTGATTTTTAACTGCCTTTTGGTGGCTGTATATCCCTTGTACATCTCACTTTCCTCATCTTTAAAATGGGGATAATACTGCCTACCTTTCTTAACATCTAGCATGTAAAGCCCATAGTGGCATGCCTGGCACAGACTGAGTACTCAATAAATTGTAGCTATTATGTTATTTCATTAGAAACATTACCATTGTAAAAGAAATACCAGCAATAGTTTTTGTTTGGGGTTTTTGAAAAGTATTTTTTAAAGAACAAGAAAGAGAAGCAAAGAATGAAAACAAGGAAAAGGCCTGATTTAGTTTTGGAAATTTTATCCTTTAAGCCATACTGGTATTTTCAATTTCTCTGCCCTATGCTACATACACTTCTTTCCTGGTTGCACGTTAGAACTCCGTTCCCTTAGGAGGAATTTGCTTTGGGCATTTTTCTTGGGGCTTTAAAATATTAATACTGTGTAGGGTTTTTTTTTCCTGGTTTCATTTTTTTTTTTAAATTAGATTTCAAAGTGATCCTTTGGGGACTTCAGGGACCCTAGAGATGAGAGATTGAGGCCATCCTGGCCATTAACTGGTTTAGAGGAGGGATTACCATTCTGTGTTAAGGTATAGCAGCGTAACTATACTGTGGGCTTTTTGGATTCACCTCAGTCCTAATTAATAACAACTGCTATTCTGAAGCTGGAGTTTTCAAGCCCTTATCCTTAGATAGTGTTGACCCTGAACTATACAACTGCTATTCTGAAGCTGGAGTTTTCAAGCCCTTATCCTTAGATAGTGTTGACCCTGTATAAGCAGTAATACAATCAGAAGCAAATTACAGCTTTGCTAAAATGATCATATCTAACTCAAGTAAGGAATGACTTTTATGAACTAGAAAGTCATAAAGAAGTAAAATAGGCAGAGAAGTCTCTTAATAGATGCCAATTTCTGCCCTATAACTTATGTTGTTATTTCTAGTTACCATTGTGGAGTTTTTTCCTTTAAAAACAGTAGTCATTTGATGTTAAGTATTAATTATCCTCATTTGTATCATTACGAATGATTTTTTTTACCACATGGCATCCTTATGATAGTTAACTTGAACTCAGGGACCTTTCTTTTCTCAAATTATGTAAAATTCTGTGGGCACATTGTTTGGGCTTCTCTTGTTTTCTGAATTGTACTTTTGCCTACCCTATGATAGAAAGCTAATTTCCAAACTGACGGTTAGATTCTGTAAATCTGTGGTTTGGTCATGTGGCTTGGTCCATTGAATTATGTGTGAAAAAATTATAATCAGTATAGAGCAGTAAACACAAATTAGAGAGTACTGCCTGCTGTGTGTAGCCAGAAGCCAAATACATAATAAAGTTTTCAAAACAACTAGAGCACACTTAATTGCTAACATTTGGATTACTGCAGAGATTAAGGAAATAATGACTAGTAGTAATTCTTAAAATCATTTTTTCTCCCAAGTTTTCATTGATATTTCCTACCCTGTGAAATTTCAGCTCTTTGTTAACTAAAACAAAATATGTTTGCTTATTTAGCCCAGCGGAATCTGAAAGAGTGATTTAAAAACCTAAACATTGGGTAATAAAGACATAGACCACCAATTTTAGGAAGACTGTTTCTTTAAGAAGTACATTTTTAATTTTAAAATTATGCATTTTTGAGTGCAAAGGGGTATTCCAGGAAAGTAGTCCATGTCAGGAGGAGACAAGATATAGGAAAATATAGCAAAAGAGGCTTAAGTTAAACACAGAGAAATTGTTCCCCCAAATTAAAGGACCCAGAAGAGGTAAACCCATTTAGGAATATAATAAAGGCTAGCCAGTGAGCTCAGCTGGTGCTAACACCAAGCTCTAAGGTTTGATCTCTGTACTGGCCAGACGCCAAGGAAAAAAAAAAGAAAAAGAAAAAAAAAAAATAAGCCACTTGTTATCTGGTTTCAGTTAAATTTACATGACTATTAATGAGAAGGGGGGTAGGAGTTGGAGGACGGAGAGGTGGGGGAGGCCACTATGTTGAAATGAAAAAACAAACAAACACCCTACCCATTTTTTCCCTTGGATATTGTCATTGTACTCTGGGACCAGGAAGAAGCTTGTCCAAAATGTAACAGTTTTAGGTGGTTTGGGCTGGGACTTTAAGAGCTCTGAATGAAGTTCCATGTTTGCCACATCATGTATCATCTTGGACAAAGTACTGCCACCTCTATGACACCAGCTCTTGTCTTATCCTAAGGTTATTTTGAGGATCAAATAAGAGAATGTTATGTGGCACTGAGAAAAACCTTCTTATAAAGTACTCTAAAATATTCAGGGCTGCCATGTAATTTTCATTTTTTGAAAAGTGGTGTAATTCAGCCTTTGTGCTATTTCTTTAGCAAATACTAACTTCTTTTATAACAAAACATAAAAAACTGGTTGCAAAATGGAATAGATTAACACTCAGTATGAAGTGCTGCCTGGCTTCTCACTTGAGTTGACTCCCACCAGTGGTGTTCAGTGAACTAGAGTGGCAAGGGGCTGATGGCGTAATTCCTGAAAATAATTCTATAATCCCAGAAAATGAAGTAGCCTTTTCCAGAGGTTGTGTGGTATAAAAGCTCTCTGCTAAACATGATGTATTTTAAATGCCTGAATTCACTATTTCCATCCTATAATTTCTAGAGAATAAAATAACTTTAAAAAAGAAAGTCATGTGATATAATTATCTTTCTCATATTAATATAAAATTTTTAACAAGGAAATTTTTTTGGCATCATGCAGATATTTTGAAAAGCAGTTTGAACTGTCAGAACAAANCCTCTATGACACCAGCTCTTGTCTTATCCTAAGGTTATTTTGAGGATCAAATAAGAGAATGGTATGTGGCACTGAGAAAAACCTTCTTATAAAGTACTCTAAAATATTCAGGGCTGCCGTGTAATTTTCATTTTTTGAAAAGTGGTGTAATTCAGCCTTTGTGCTATTTCTTTAGCAAATACTAACTTCTTTTATAACAAAACATAAAAAACTGGTTGCAAAATGGAATAGATTAACACTCAGTATGAAGTGCTGCCTGGCTTCTCACTTGAGTTGACTCCCACCAGTGGTCTTCAGTGAACTAGAGTGGCAAGGGGCTGATGGCGTAATTCCTGAAAATAATTCTATAATCCCAGAAAATGAAGTAGCCTTTTCCAGAGGTTGTGTGGTATAAAAGCTCTCTGCTAAACGTGATGTATTTTAAATGCCTGAATTCACTATTTCCATCCTATAATTTCTAGAGAATAAAATAACTTTAAAAAAGAAAGTCATGTGATATAATTATCTTTCTCATATTAATATAAAATTTTTAACAAGGAAATTTTTTTGGCATCATGCAGATATTTTGAAAAACAGTTTGAACTGTCAGAACAAACAAAATTACCAATGTTTCTTCATTGTCGAAACTCACATACTGAATTTTTGGGTGAGTTAAAACTAAAATCTCATTTAGAAGTTTAAGAACTTTGCAGAAATCAAGCTATTTGCTAAAAGTTCCTTCTGTTTTTAATTCACAGATATAATGAAAAGAAATAGAGATCGGTGTGTAGGTGGAGTGGTAAGTATAAAATAGTTCTTTATTTTTTAAATTTTTTAAAATAGTTTTTAATATGTGATGCACAAAACCATCTTGGTTATTGAGGTTGGCCTCTAAAGTAATTCAGATGTTAGTAATAAAACTTTACTGTTGAATATATGGGTCAGATATGGTACAAACATAAATCACACATTTCCTTTGTTGAAAATATGAGTACAGAATTCTATTCCTATAAGAAAACCTGTGATTTCCACTGTGCATATTATTTTATCTCTTCCATCAGCCATTCTTTAATGTTCTTCTACTTAAAGTTTGAGAAAAATATAAACTAATTTTAATATATTAAATTATTGTACTATTTGTTTTAGATTTGCCTTCCTAATTTCTTTCCAGCTTTATTCATTTACTATTATCACTCTTATCTAGAGACTTACTCTCCTTTCTGTAATTTGTATTCTGCTGTAAACATTTCTCCCATATGGTCATTTCAATTATTTATTTATTTATTTATTTATTTTGGGCAGCTGGCCAGTATGGGGATCTGAACCCCATTTCAATTATTAACCTTGAGACATTTCCCATAAATACGTGACTCACCACTTAACTCAGGTATCTATAGCAGTGACTTTTTTTTTTTTTGTCCTTTTTGTCTTTTTTACTGACCTGTAANGGTGGGAGCGCCGCCGCACTCCCAAGCGGCGCACTCTCCAGTGTGCCACTGGGCCGGCCCTATAGCAGTGACTTTTAATCTATTTTGTATCATAGACTCCTTTAAGAATCTGCCTTAGAAAAATGCTCAGATACACAAATTTTCATATACAATTTCAGATGAGACTCAGTGGCAGGATCTAGCAAAAAAGCTGTTATCCAGGTATATTAAAACCACAGTTAGACTATGCCAACTAAAGAAAGAGGAAGCAGCACTGTGCACTTATTGTATACCACCTTGCTTTGCCAGTTTTATATATATTCTCTCAAATTTTAGCCTCTGCCTCATGTTTCATAGTACTAGTAATATGTATGCATTCTGCATTGCTGTGGTGTGAATATTACTATGAAATTTTTTTTCTGTAGTTTACTTACTGTCTTTTAGGAACTGTATTTGGGAATTGAGAGAGGCTTTAATTAATAGACTTGGGATTCCTGGTAGCATTTATTATAACATTCAGGTTCTGCCTCTTGGCCCATTTGCTTTTTTTCTAAATAAGAATTAACTTGGGTTGATTCGCTAATGGTTTTAAAAAATAAACAACAGCAATAACAATAATTCCAACCTAAATGTTTGACTTTTATCAAAAAAGAAATTGCCAAATAAAAAGTTAATAACTAATTTTCTGAAATGGTTTATGAGGAGTCACATTTAAAATTATTTTCATATTAACGGAGGCTATGTTTTCTAGTCAGCTGGAAATGCTGAGGGAAAGAATAAACCATTTCAGGGCAGCTGTGTAACACAAATTTCTTCATTGCTGAGAAACATGTTATCCATAGTGTGTTCACACTCTGTGGACTTACTGGTAACATGGCATCACTTGTTAAGTGACATTAATTTTTAAAGGAATGTTGTTGTTATTTGTTGGTTTTGATTCTATAAATTCATCCAAAGTATTAAAAACTATGCCTTAACCCATATGTCTTTGAAGGAGAAAAACAGCACCTCAATCCTTTTTGCCTGCTGAGCCAATATTACTGATTATATAACAATTTATATTTTTAAAGCAACCTTCTCACCTCTTTATAGAGCTTCTTAAAACTTGCCCTTTGAAAGTCATTTCTCGTCTAGGAAAAAGCATCCTCGAACAAAAAAAAATTCAACAATGTTTTCCAATATATTTTAAATGGTGTTACAAAATTTCTAACCTTTTCTCAGGCTTTTGCC